TTTTCCAAAAAGATTTTCTAAGTATATTTGATATAATTATTCGAATATCAAAATAATACTCCAAATCTTTCAAATGTCATTTTTAATCCTTACTCAAGTGTAAAATTAAGTTTTAATCTTAAAATAATTTCAAAACGATTTTAAAAAATATTTCGAACCATCTCAAAGCCAAAAATTCCAGATTGCTCAGAGGGAACCTATTCCCCCCCCAAGAGGGTACCGATTCCCCTCCAAGAGGGTACCGATTCCCCCTTAATGGTTTGGCTCCGAGAATTCCAGTATGCTCAGAGGGAACCGATTCCCCCCAGGGGGTACCAATTACCCCCTGTGTAACGGTCAAAATATTTGAATTTTACACTTAGGGAACCGATTCCCCTTAAGGGGTACCGATTCCCCCACACTCCAAACTATTTTATTAATTAATTTCACACTAAAACAACTATATTATCTTCATTAATGATCCCCCAACGTTCAGAAGTGATTCAAGGTGTATTTAAGCAAGCTTAGAAGCCATTGATCAATAACAAGAAACATCAAGCAACTAGAATCAAGAGAGAATCAAAGAGAAAGCATCAAACCTCAAGTTTGAGCATTTCAAGCCTATTTTTCATTCAATATTCATTTTGCTTTCAAGAACACTTATTATGCTCAATTGTATTCATTCTTGAGTGTTCTTTTCTTTGTTCTAGAATTGTGCAAACAATCTACCTTGTGAGGATTTCCTTGTAAGTTTGCAAATTTGTATTGTTCTCTTTGGGAGAGAGTGTTCTCAAGAATTTGGGGTATAATTCTTGAGGGTTTGTAAGGTTACTCTTTGTCCTCAAAAGAAAGACAAATTAGTGAATTTGTGGAAAATCCTTAGTGTGGATAGCTAAGGTAGTGGACTTAGACTTTGGTTGAGAAAGTCGAACCACTCTAAATCGATGTGCAATTTCTTTCAATTTTCTGCAAAAACTTCCACCAAAATTTTATTGCCAATTCACCCCCTCTTGGCCGATTCCGCCAATCGATTAACTCAACAAATTAGATATAATAATAATTAGTTAAGAGGTTGTTAGTATTAGTTAAAAGTTTTTTAGTGTTTGATGTTAATTTGGGTTATGAGTCTTTATTTTTTTTTTGAAAAGGTTTGTGAGTTCTTCTTCACACACACAACACATGAATTTGCATATCATAAGCCCTATACCCAAGCTATGTCCCGTTAAGTAGGAGTGAGTCATTAGTGCCTTTGTGAGTGACCCTCTGCATAGACTAGTGAATTACTCTCGGAGTACATGCCCTTATGATCTTCGTGAGCAACCTTCCATGTTAGGCATAAGAAATGTACTCCCTCGAATTGAACTTGATTCGTTTAAGTCTATAATGAATGAGGATTGAGGGTTTGACATCCAAGGGGGCATCGACAATGATAAATTCGAGTACCCTTTTTCTTAGGACCGAAATCATACATATAGTGAACCCTTACCCATCATAAGTAATGTTAAAATTCCGTCTAATAGTATTTACTCTAATAAGTGTACATAAAGGAGGAACAACTCTGAACTTTCTCTCTTTACTTTAAATTCATAGAATAACTTTATTTTCTGATGAAGGCATGTGAATTAGATACCATATAATTAGGACTAATTTCCTTAAACAAATCATGTCCAGTAAAAAGCATGTCCGGTAGGATTGTTGTTTTAATAAAATCATGTTTGGTTAGATACATAATGGGGTAAGTATTATATTCATCTTTCAATATCATTTTTATCTTTATTGGTTATTTTACCTATTCTAGTTCAATTTTCTCATTTTTTGTTATTTTTCACCTTTATGCATTACATCATCATCTTAGACAACATGAATGTTTTGATTCACAGATGACTCTCTAATTGGAAAATTTTCATAAATAGAGAAAAAAAAATTATCAATCAAGTAGTCGCATACACATACATGCACAATTGGCTAATTGAAGCTTGGAGTAAACGAGGAGGAAGTTCTCTTGAAGATCAGACATCAAAGTTGATATGTAGAACAACACTCAAGATTTGAGAGGTGATCATTTGATCCGAGCAACGATGCATTTACAAAATCTTACCTACAACTAATGTAATGTACAACTCTAGCATCGTAGAGGCATCATCTGAGATGAGCCGTGTTTTGAATAGAGCTTATACACAAGTCTAGGAGGTCATAGAACACTTGAGGGATATAGTTTTCGAGGGTGAAGTTCCAAAAAAAAACATCGACTTACTTTAGACCAAGCGTACAAGCAAAATCATGTATGTGAAAATGGATTATCTTGAATAGCGAAGACTGTTATCTCAAATGGAACTTATTCTATTATATTAATCTTTGGGATAAATACTTTTTTTACATTGCATTCACATTAGCATCTTTGCATTTTGCATCTATATTGCATTTATTTAAGCATTTTCGCATGCATCATTCATGAAAATACGTGTTTAATTCTTGGAGGATTCCATGACAATGGTCCTGATCACACGACAAGATACTAAAAATGAAAGTAACATTTGAGAAACTGAAGAAAAATCTAAAAGAGAATTTGCAGAGAATGCAAATAGATTGAGAAGCCAAATTGAAACGATAACAAAAGACTATTATGGATCACATCTTGCAAAATTAGGCTAACATAGCCGATCATATTGTTAGATATTTTTTTAAAAAAAAAGGTCAATTTCTTTTTTGAAAGGTCTCAAAACCTTTTTTAAGAGGGTGCCATTTTTTTCTTTTATTTTTTATATATATAATTTATATGAGCAAAAAATAAGTTTAGAAACTTTTAGTTGATAAGATTTCTCTTTCTATTCGATTAATTTATGGAAGGCATTCAAATATCTAGAGTTCCCTTTTGAAGATTATTTGAACGAGAGAGATTTTTTCAATATTCATAATAATATTATTTTAATAAAAAAAATCAAAAATTAAATTATATTTATTTTATGGGGATACCTCAAACGAATAGCAATCAATGGGAAAACCTCAAAAATATCTGGAGTTTGATTCCTCAGAATGCACGAGTGAAAGAACACCCTATCAATTTTAACTTAATTAATAAATAATTTGTGTGTAAATATATATTTAATTTCGTACATTTTTTTACATTTCATACCATTTATTATTGTTTCATTCATTAATACTTCATTTAAATTTTCTCATTTTTGTAAAATCGAAGGCAACATTGCTTTATATCGTAAGTTAATAGAATTACGTCCAACATAATTGGATCACGATTTCTATTAATTTTAGTAGTAAAGGGATATATTTTTAAATAAAATTGAGTGAATTAAATACTTTCCATTGAGTTAAATATTTCTTTTAAGAAAATAAATTTACTGATTTTTAAATTTATCGAAGTAAAAAGATCGAAATTTAAATTTTAGATTCGAATATTTCAAGTTTCATTACTTAGGCAATGTAAAATTGATAGGTACTAATTTTGGACGATGTGGGGTGTTAACATTTCCCCACGCGTAATCAACTCTCGAATCCTTAAAAATGAATTTACGGCAATACGCATACCAAATTTTTTTCTTTAAAATAATTTTTCTTAAAATTTTTTAGACGTTTTTAGGTATTTGACCTACCTAACACAAAGGTTGATGATGACTCTAAATCCAAACCGATTCGAATTACATGCCTTTAAATTTACCAATTCCAGTGATTAAGCTTCTTTTGTATAACATGACTGCAACCCTAACAATCAGATCCTAGCGATGATTTTACTAAGGTAAGGCTGAGAGGTAAAGGAATTCTCTGACCACGGTTTAGTGATTAAATAGTTACCAAATATCGTTCAAGGACCGTTTACAAGAACTCCAAATAGTTGGAACGGGTATGAGAAGTGACATGAAAATAATCGTTCTCTACGTCTCTCAGTCAAAATGCTTGAGATAGTTTCCGAGTAAGGCATTCATCTCCCCAACAATTTTAACTACAACTGTTTGAGCAAAGCTTTCGACAACCAAAGCGTGAATCCAATCGAAAGTATACCATAAAAAATTGTTCGAATGACATCCTCATCGAGGATTTTAATCTCATCTTCATCAATGATTTTCTGATCTATAACCGCTCGACTCATAGTGTCTTCGACAAGCATATCCTTATAAGAAATTGAGATCGAGGGTTTTGTAGCAATCAAAGTCGTTCCCATCGTAGGATCTCATCTTGATCTATTATTAGCGGTCGGAGTGAATTCCATCTCAACATCCTTCATAGCGGAATCTAGGAGGTTTCTCGTCACAGCTGCGGGGCATTTTGCTTTAAGGTTTCATGATAGTGGCTGAATATAGTATCGATACTATTACCAAAATATCAGTACTGCCTAAAATTATTTTTGGTAAAGCTGACTTAAATTTGTTAGGACTCCATAAAAACTTGTATAAACACTATATACTCATGTTTACTTCATGCAATATCAAATACCCATTTCATACATGCCAAACATCATACTTAAAATCAATGCATTGATTTTCAGTGTTTTAATCCATTTAATATAAAATTTATTGATAAATTCAATACAAATATTAAAATTCAAGGGTGTTTAGAACAATTTACCCTAATATCAAAATACGACAATACTAAAAACAAAAGTACATTAATTTCCCAACAACCATATTTTGAGAAAGGAAAATAATAAATGAGCAACAAAAAGTTAAGAGTTTTTCATTTTAGTTCCTCTATTTTTAAAATTTCAATTTTAACCTAGTCATCATATATTTAAGTGAAATTCCGTTATTATTCTTTTTAGTTAAATTTGTTATTAATCTTTATATTATGTGTAAGTTGCAACTTTATTTATTTATTCATTCTAATTAGACTATTTTAGACCTTATAATTTAATTATATTGTCATCGTATAGTATGTATTTTTTAAAAATTTAAAAATATAAAATTAAAATTAAGTAAATCAAAAGATAGATTAAATCTATAATTTACGGAGACTAGAAAATAGAAATTGGTATACGTAATACGTTTGAGTTTTGATTACAGCCGTCAGTCGTCAATTCAGTCTCAGGTGCAGCATTAGGTCTCTCACCAAAAGCAGAAGAAATGGGCGCAATAGCCACCCCCAAATCTCTCAATTTTTGCTCATCACAAGAGCCCCTTTCATCTCTCTCGTTAACAATATCGAAAACCCTAAACCCCAATGTCAATTTCTCAAAGACCTCGTTAGCCCCCCCTTCTCGTCGTCCTCATCTTGCCGTAAGAGCTTCTTCAACCTCCCCCACCGCTCTCAATGACCCGCCTAATCCCACACTTAGCAATTACGATCATCAACTTCGAGTCAAAATCCTCTCTGAATCACTTCCATACATCCAGAAATTTAGGGGAAAGACCATTGTCGTCAAATACGGCGGCGCCGCCATGAAATCTGCCGAGCTCAAGGCCTCCGTTGTTAGGGATCTCGTCCTTCTCGCATGCGTTGGCCTCCGTCCCGTCCTCGTCCACGGTGGTGGTCCTGAGATCAACGTTCTGCTCAATCAGCTCAGCATTCCCTCTCAGTTCCGCGATGGGCTCCGTGTGACCGACGCCCGGACCATGGAAGTTGTTTCCATGGTCCTTGTTGGAAAAGTTAACAAAGACCTTGTCTCCCGTATCAACTTCTCTGGAGCCACCGCCGTCGGCCTTTCTGGTATGGACGGCCGTCTTTTAACTGCCCGGCCCAGCCCAAATGCTGCACAGTTGGGGTTTGTCGGAGAAGTTGCGAGAGTGGACCCTACAGTCCTCCAAACGCTCGTGGCTAACGGAAGCATCCCGGTGATTGCTTCAGTGGCGGCGGATGAGTACGGGCAGCCTTACAACATCAATGCAGACACTGTTGCTGGAGAGGTGGCCGCGGCATTGGGAGCAGAGAAACTGATCCTGTTGACCGACGTTGCAGGGATTCTGAGAGACCGCGAGGACCCTGGAAGCTTGGTGAAAGAAATTGATATAAAAGGAGTGAAGAAAATGATTGAGGAAGGGAAGGTGGGCGGTGGAATGATTCCGAAAGTGAATTGTTGCATTCGATCCCTTGCTCAAGGAGTCACCACTGCTAGCATTATAGATGGTCGTGTCGAGCACTCCTTACTTCATGAGATTATGACCGATGAGGGCGCTGGAACTATGATCACCGGTTAAACATTGGCATACTCTTTTCTTTTTTGTTAGTTTTAATGTTGTAAGTCACCTATTTATTGCGGTTATGAATGCATCGCTACAAATTTCAATGCCTTTTTTGCATTAGTTCCTGAGCATGTTCCTTTTCGAGCTCAATTGTGAGATGTTGAAATTTGCTGGCTCTGGATTGAGCATTCTTCTGCTTCAATCTCGCCTGGCAAGAATAAAACGGGTAATATGGAAGCTGAGCACAATTTTAATTAAGCTGCATATGTGTGATACTGGCAGAGGCTGTAGCTTTATGTTTCATTTTCTCTGCCTTGAATCACCTTCTTTAACTTCTATACGTTCCTCTCTTTATGTGTTTATATCTTTAATATTTTTTCGTTGCATTTAGTTTTATTTGGATTCTCCCTCTTTTCTTTGGCTATTATTTTTCTTGCATGTAGGGATGTTGGTTCACTGTGACTTAATGTTTTATTTGCTTTATGTTTCTGGTTTATTGGAATATCAAGTTGCTTCAGTCGCCCTTCTTTGTATGGTAGATTAAGGAACTCCACAGGTTCCTCCTATGGAGCTGTATTACCTGGATTCAGGATGAGTTTCTTATGTTTGTCACAGGCATGTTTCACTTTTTTTAAAAGTCCCCCCCCCCCTAATATTTGGAGAATCATACCGCATGCTCATGTCTAAATATGTGTCAGACATATGTACTTCAGGAAAACAAATAGTCTAGGTAACTGGTAACATAGTTATAGAGCGGGTTACTTTTATTCTTTATCTGCAAGCAGCATTTTTTACCCCCTTTATCATTCCATCCTTTCAAGTTGCTTTCCACTCTACCAAGGAAAGCCTTAGGGATGCCTTTTATGACTGAGTTATATGCTGTGTTTCCTCATGGCATTTTAAAAGCTTGCAATATATGAGCAAGCTAAGGGAAAGAAGTTAGTAATCAACGGGAAAGAGTAATAGAGAAAGGGGAACTAAAGTTTTAGTGAAATGAAATTTAGAAATGATGATTGTTAAAAGGAAAAGTGAGAAAAATGTAAAATTAATTACATTTACCTGAGTAGATTTTTTTATTATATATATATAAATATATATATATTAATGATGATGATTGTTTAACCAATCTTTATATCATTCTATCTCACTTGGATTCGGATGCTATTAACAAGACCTAGCTGGAGAACTGTTAACATTAGCATCAAATATTTCATCTTAATCTCTATTTGATGCTTGTTTTGAATCACTATCCATCTAAATTAACTACAAAATTTAATCTTAATGTATCCTTGACAACAACATGCATACATAAAAATACTAGGCAGTAATGTGAACTGAGTATAGTATAACAGCAAAAATGACCACATCTATCTGATAAGAAATATCGAGTTAGTCTGGTTGGTTCTTGGAGGAAAGAACTCGAATTTAGTCTCTTCCTACATGGCCATTCTACTTTCAGCTGAAAACTGATGAGTGCTTTCCCTGTCCTACAAAATCATGCTAATTAAAACATAAAACAAAAGAAATAGCAAACTCGTAAAAATGCAAATCTATGTTGTTCTTAACTCTTCAATTCTGTTGAGGTAATTGTATCCGACATCCGTGTCAGACATTTTCAGAAATGATTAGAGAGATGGTTCCTCTAAGGACCCTTAAAATACATATTGGAACTTAGGAAAAGATTGAACATATTGGAACTTAAAATACCCGTGTTTGTCATGTGCCTGTATTGGACACTCACATCACATGTCTGTCTAAGTAACATAGATGCAAATGATACAAACATCATTACTTATTATAAGTGCTTCAACTCAGGTATGCTAACACCAAGCTTGTAGGTTTCATGCCCTTTTACTTTAAATGTGTCGTAAAGGAAATATATATTCAGAATATGCTTGACTTTCCAATGATCCAAACCTCCATTGGGCAACAATTTCCGAGCGAATTCCTTGGACATATCATTAAATGATAGAGCCTTAAGACATTTTAGATAGGAAATGCCTGCAGGCAATTCTTATATATATAAGAAATTGAACTCTTTGTATATGCCAGAAAAGCAAGGTGATGTTATTTGTAACATAATATTGTTAATGTTCATAAGTAGGGTTTGGAAGTCCAAACTTGAAGGGGGACATAAGTAGCATGGGACTCTCTTTCGACTCAACTACCGTACTTGGACGCTAGCCCATCTTGTGCTTTCTTAAACATTAAACTATCGTGTTTGGTTAAAACCTTTAAATTATATTATTATTTTTCAATAAAATAAGTTTTTGATTCATCCAAATGTATTTTTATATCTTGACCTGTATCTTTATAAATTATTATTTTAAATCAGTGTTGATTTATTTTAACATGTAAGTTAACTATTAGTATTTATTTGATCACGTTCCAAAATTTTATTTGGATACAAATAAAAAATGAAAGAGACTTTAATGTAAACTAAAAATTAAGGACTTAATTAACTTTTAAAAAATTAAAAATACTTTATTATTTTAACTAATAGAAAATAAATATATTGATTGAATCACATAAAATAATAAAAGATTTATAATAAAATTTCCAACTGGTCCATATTTTAAATTCACTTTTTCTTATAAAAAAAAAGGAAAAAATTGATATTAAACACAAAATATATCAATTAAAATTAAAATATTGTTTGATCTATGCACATTAATCTTGGTCGATAAATTTGGTTTTCTAAAAGTAATCATTGGACCGTCATCCCTCCAACGACTTGCGAACATAAGAAAGTATATAAAGTAAAATGAAAGGAATTGATTGAAGCCACGACCTTAGCAACCCTGCATTTTTTTTTATTTTATTATTTGTACCCAACAGCCAACAGCAACCTTAGTAGATTTCCTATTAACATCATAACCACCCTCCTTTCCTTCTACTGTAATATCTCAATTTGTGTATGTACCCACGTTGTATTTCATATTATTTTTTCGTCTTATAAATTATACCATATTTGTTTATGCTCACGTATAATCCATATTTCTATTTGTGTTGTGTTTATAATAAATGTACAATCAATTATAATTTGAATAATGTCGCTTCCTAAATTTTATAATTTTACGTCTCTTAAATTATAAATTATAAATTTTGCATCCCTATGTGAAATTTAGTTTGGAAAATGAATCCAGTTGACTAGCCCCTAAGCTATTCTATCCATTCATTTAAATCCTTATTTGGACAAAAAATGTCTGGTGAATGGTAACTCTGATTTCCAGTTGAGCCACCATTGTCTTGTTTAATTTTATGTTTCCACTGATGGGAGAAAGAATTAATAAATTTAATAATAGTTTAATTGAGCCAAATTAAAATAAAATGCACGTGGCTATGATACTTCGATTATGTACTTTTTATATTGTATAATTAACAAATTACACCACTAAAATATCAAATAGTCATTTTTTATATTACAAATATGGTTTTAAGTATAAATTTGCCAAAATGATTATATAAAGAGACAAGTTTCCAGTGATAAACGGATAGTTTTAACTGTTTTAATCACCACATTCGACATGACTGCAAAACACGTCAAAGCTGCCTATAAGCCAATGATTGTGACTGAACCCACAAGCAAAAGCCCAGCAAAAAGAAACGTGCAAAGCAAGGCAAAATCACTATAGCTCTGTACAAGTATCCAGTTTCTCTTCTCTGCTGAGGAGAGGTGGATTCATGGTAGGTCAAGGTCCAATCAGGCACCAGGTGAAGCATCCCGCCAATATCCACATTCAGTAATGCCACATTCTGAAAGAAATTTCTGATAATCATCTTCAAGTCTACCATAATCCTCAAGTGCCTCCTCGTACTGGATGCATGCTTCATCTTCTGAAGGACCCTGCACAACAGTTCAAAATTAACTTAGCATCCAACCCCAATTTTAGCAGACACCTTTTGGCTATCGAACAAATAAAAAACAATAACTATATTATGATTGCTAATACTCTTTATATGCGACTGCTTTTGTGTTTTCGGTTTCATTGATCTCTAGTGAGCTCATTCAGTAGGGCTTGTCATTGCTAATTGGCAGCTTCAGGCTTCTCCATACTGAATGAATTTGACAACAAGAGGTGCAAAACAATACAGCAGACCTGGTGTTCCTGGTTTTGCAGGCAAGCAACAAGGTACAAATCCGGTGTTACCAATCCCTATAATCATGGAGAATTTTTTCAACTAGTGTTATCAATTCCCATGTGTGCCATGCATATCATGGAATCGTCCGGTCCCTTGTGTCTGAAAACATAAGAACAATCAAGGTCACATGTATCACCATTGGCTTCCCTTTATGCGTAGCATGATGAATGAATCATATAAGTAAAAAGGTCTTGGGCAAAGCAGCACCAAATGGAAAAGATTGGAGTTCCATCATTGTCACCCGGACAACAAACATACAAGGAAACCATATCAACCAGTAGGCCACTGCATAAGTGAACAATCATCCTTGAAAGTGTATATTATGCATCATTCTAGTATGCAGTACCTGCCAAGCTGTTAGGCATTCTTCCATAGCAAAACCCATTATTGTATCTTCAATTTCGTGAGCAATGCCAAGCCCTATGTAGCATGTATTGAGCATTCTCCGGCTCTGGTAGCATCATTAACTTCCACAGACAGAGTGTCAGTATATCACAATCATATCTCCCACCTGAAATGGATGTAGTGTAATGCTGCCTTATGCCATCAACAGTGCCACTGAAGCAAAGAATTATAATGCAACTTATTGTCCGACAGACAGTTTTCTACTCTTCGGCATCGTCAGAAACACAAGAATCATACACTTGGAAATACCGCTTCCAAACAAATAAACTTGCAATGATGCCACACCCAAGGCAAGTGATTCCCAGCACAAAGGGTCATTTACCTGAAGCTGTGAGACTAGGTTGCCCAGTGTACAATCATTGAGTCAGCAAAAACTTAACAGAAGAAAAATATTTCTACTATTCATAGGTGATGGCATAAGGATTATAGGGACTTAGTTTTTCTGAATTCCTATGGGTTACTTACCTGCTCTGCTTGAAATTCAAAGTTCTAATTTTGAGGCTCTAAGCCACTTTACATGGATACTATCCTTTTCATGGTCACTCATGTCAATATAAGATCATATGGTCACCTTAGCAGGCACATCAAAACAGTTTTTCTTTTTGAAATAGTTTTAATCTCAGGAAAAAAGGGAAAGCAATATGAAGCTATTCCAGATAGCAATATAAACCTGTGCAATAGGGACTCCAACCGATCAATTTACTTTAAAAAAGAGAAATATAATGGTATTTTATCTGAAGAAAGAAACACGACTAGATATCGGTTGAATACTACATTTCTTGCAACTGAGTATATCAAATGTGCTATATTCTATGATATGGGTATAGAAAGATCATGGCAGATAAGGCTCAAGCTTAAAAAGAAGACAAGAAATTGGCTTTCCTAAAATTCTGCATTATATGCTTGACATATACTACATGTTGAACTGAGTACTTACAATAGAATCAAGGCCTAATTCGGAGTCGAAAACATTTCCTTCTACAGTGTCACTGAGGGCATACTTCCATCGCATGCGTTTTGCCCCACAGTGAAGTGCTTGAGACTTATCAACAGCTTGCTGTCTTATGCCTCTGGCAACTCTTGTGTGAAAGGTACTGATTACACATCCGATGCAAAACGCTATAAGAGGAACCACAACTAGAAAATAACCAGTGGATCTAGCCTGCTAATAGAGTGGGAAAGCCTGTTGAGCTTGCATAATCAAGGAATACCACTGTGATGGTTTTTATAAACAGACTTACATTTGATTGATGATGTGAAGTTAGCACGGTGAACAATGTTTTCTCTGAAGGAACTTTAAGTGCACGAATGGAACGCCACAACTTACTTTTCTTGACTCGGTCCTGATTAGCAGAAAAGAAAACATACACGACCAAGGTAAATTTCAACAAAAATCTGATTGAAATCCCAGCGTTACCCAACACAATTCAGGCTGAAAGTTTTAAACTAAGTCCAAACTACAATGTTGCCTTGTTAATTTGCTAGAGCATTACAATTTTTGAAACATGAAAGAATATGGTAATAGCTCAACAAACTCGAATAATTGGTACTTACAAATTTAGTGTCTAGAAGGGAAGGAGCAGGGATGTTAAGGAGCTGGCCTTGGAAGACAAGGTCAATATCCACTATGTTCTTATTAGCAGCTGCAATGGAATGAACAGACACCCCATACATCTTTGAAATGGAGGACAAAGTTTCACCTCTGCAGTTGAGATTACAAACTTTTCACCCCAGATAAACTTTGCACACTAAATCATGATCAAAACCCAGAATTTAGAGAAAAAAAGGAAGGTAAAGGAGTTTCGTCTAACTCTTTCACCACATGACCGCAGGAATAGTCCTTTGTCTCGTTCTGCAATCTCCATTTCTGACACCAAGAAACCAAACCATTCGTTTTAGCAAAGCCTACAAAAAGTCATCCTACTAGTGAAGTAACTATAATTCTTACGAAAATATGGTGTGGGAAGAGAAAGAAAAACCTTCACTAGGCCTTGAAACCGTTGGATTTCAGCAGCTGCCCAGGGTTTAAAATTCAAGGTGCGGGTTGGGAAGCTTGCTTTTGTATGGTCCGAAAGAAGAGATTTTGAGAGCAAGAAATGTTTTTTATGGCTAAGCTTCACTTCCATGACATGAGAAACCAACGAAAATGGAGAAGGAAACAAGAAGAGAAGAACAATAACTATTTTTCGGACAATTCCAACCCTTCATTTATGGTGGGTTGAAAGCGAGAAATGGGCACTGAAGGGAACGACTCTTTTGTATTTTCTTGCTAGATTCCTTGGGCCCTTACACAGTTAGTGAATAGTGAATGCGTTTGCCATAATTTCTAAATTTGAAAATGAGTTCATTTAAGGACTTGTTTTAGCGGCATATCAGCTGCAATTAACCAAATCACAACTCAAATTACTGATTTTGTTGTCAAACATTGAGAAGCAATGAAAATGTTAAACCAAGTTTGGGGTGTAAGACCATACAATTGTGTTAACCTAGAAAACACGATTGGAATATCAAATCTTTTTTTTCTTCATATCTACGTAATACATGTACAAATATATCCCATCATACCACCATTCAAATTCTTTACATGCTCTGTTAATATTGAATCTCTTAGTCATATCCCATTTTGACTTGTACATTCTCAATTCAACCGATTCTTCAAAATCTAAATACAAGTATGAGAATACGACGTCAAAAATATTTGAAATTGGTTATAAAAAAAAACTTAAAATATAGTGTATACCAGACAACTCTGAATCCGAACAAAATAGTCTACTGATACAGTGAACACACTGTCTATTCTATCTAAATAGCAAGTTACAGAACAAAGAAATAGAGTGTGTTCCCAAAGCAAATATAGAAAACTGGTTCCACGTAAGTGTAACTCAGAGGAAATCAACAAACCTAGACATGTGAACATTGAAGTCATTTTCTTATAAGAAAAAACTCATTCCCACTCCTGAGTGGGCAGCTAATGATAGGAAGGGTGAAAATGAAATAAATGTGTAGAAGCCAAGGGTGGGGACAGAAAATCGCCTGAATTTAATCAAATGTGATAGAGAAATGCTCATTTCTATTACATATCACCTCACACGGCAACTGTGGAAAAGTAAGTACAATATTCATATAATCTACAGTCAACTGGGTGGACAAATAATAACGTCTTTAACGGTCAACAAAATGTAAAGCTCCCAAGTCCGGTGAGAAGCTTCACCTCTAAATGTAATTTTCTCTGCTCTTCAAACATCACTATTTATGTATTAACGTACACTGGCAGTCTATTGAACAAAAAAGAGGCAATCCTTTGAGTAGATGGAGAAAGATGACTATATTATCCAATGAAACCGTACAACATTATACCCATTGTTGCCATCCGTTAATACAAGTGTTGGCCAACACGGAGTTCCTCTGCGGAGGTTGCCAAACTCTCGGTTACGCCACAAGGTTTCAATGTGAACCATGCGGTTTAGATCTCCATCATCACTGGGCCGACTGCCCTATGGAAATCTCTTCTTTTATGCACCAACTAGTCGTTTGCAAGCCAGACCGTGTGTGACGACCCAGTAGAAGGACTTTTCTATAGGTGCCAGATATGTGATTTCAATGTGCACCTTATTGTACGCAATTACCTGAATCTACACGGCATGCGATGCATAAGGATCATCTTTTGTGGGTGCCCGTCGGGTGCATGGTCTGTAAAGATATGTGTTGTAATGGCGTTATAGATGTAAGGATTGCGGCTTCCATCTTCACCTTGACTGTATTTTAGCACCTTGTGAGGAGGAAATTAGGACTCGATCGTTGGGAACAATAGCTCCACCACCACGATCAGCTTGGCCGCCTGCTTATAATTGTGGTTATGGCCGCCTGCATACCTCCTCCTCCTCGGTACTTTGCACATCCTTCATTTCCTCATGCTCATGGTTATGGGGCCATTCCTCCTCCTCATCAGTACTATGCACATCCTTTAATTCCTCATGTTCATGGTTATGGGGGCATTCCTCCTCCTCCCCAGTACTTTGCACATCCTTCATTTCCTCCTCATGATCATGGCTATGGAGCCCCCTCTAGCAATCATGCTCAAAGTAGTGGCAATCAAGTTGAGGGACCTGGTGGCAAGGTTTGAAAGCCAATCTACGCTATTGTTCAGAGTCTGGTGTTACAGAATACGGCTATCGGATAGAACAAAATCACAACTGATAATTTGAGAAAAATAAAAAATGAAGATAAAAGAGACACAAAATTTACGCGGAAAACCCCTAAATAATATAGGGTAAAAACCACGGGCAACGGTAGAAGAATTTCACTATGAGAAAATATGAATTACAACTCCTCTCGATCTACCAAGAAGAAAACAATGATAATTATCTCTTGATAAAAAGGAGAAAACAACTCTCAAGAAACTCTCTAAATTCTCTAGTATTGTAAGAAAGCTAGAATGCTTTGGGATGGTTTTGAAGTTAAATGGGTTGGGGTATTTATAGTTAAAACTTAAGGACTAATCTTGTAAATACCCTAAAAGTAAAGTGACTAAATTGGGTATTTTACCCTTTATTATTTTATCAAATTTGGTGGCCAAATTTGACTAAAATTAGCCGCCCTTAATATTGCCAAGCCGCCCCATTTGTTTCATTCTCTTTTTTGACTTTCAACAATCTCCCACTTGAAGATTTGATTGGAATAATTATATCTTCACACCATTCTTTAATCATGTCTTGACAATGCAATGCATGGCGTGTCTCACCCACAATATTGTTTCTGAGATTTTACTTGTCCGGGACGAATATAAAATTAACTCTCTAATAATAAGTATAAAAAATTAAATTGTAAGAGTGATAAAAAATAAATAAATTTGTTTGTAACTATTTTTTATTACGTTTAATAAACTATCTAATAAATACATAAATGTCTTAGACATTTTCGAGACCCGGAGGCGAAACTAAAATATAGACCTTTATAAAACCAAAATATATTATAATACTTTGAATAATTAATTTAATATTACATTAATAAATCATATAAAAATGATTAAATTAGGGGTTTAAACTATAAAAGTAAAAAGTATGATTGAAAAAATTAGGTACCTCAATTATAAAAGGTAAAAATTGAGATTAAAAAAATTAGGGGCCTTGATTTTAAAGGTCAAAAGTGAGATTGAAAAAATTAGGGGTCTAAATTATATACTTAAAAAATGGGATTGAAAAATTAGGGGCCTCAATTACAAATGTAAAAATTGAGATGGAAAAAATCAAGAGTTCAATTATAAAGGTACAAAGTGGGATTGAAAAACTTAGGATCATCAATTATAAATATAAAAAAATTGGATTGAAAAAATTAAAGGTCTCAATTATAAAGATCAAAATATAGGATTACAAAAACTAGAGACCTCAATTATAAAATTATAAAACTAAAATTAAAGAAAATTAAAAAATTAAATTGTAAAAATAAATAATATAATAAAATAATTAGAGGCCCTTTAAATGGGGCCCTCAAATTTTGTTGAGGGTGCACCCTTAATAGCAAAAAATATATATAATTTTAATTAAAAGTAATTTAAAAATATCATATCAATATCGTTATTGATTTTTTAATGATGGATAACTATGTAATGTTAAATATAATTTTAAAAAATTAATAATTATATAATTAAAATTAAAATAATAAAGAGATAATTAAACCAATAATTTATTATATTTTAATTATATATAAATTCTATAATTTTAGACTCCGGGCAAGGCCTGGGCATAGGGCTGTAAGTGAGACGAGACAGATCGCGAGTTACTCGAGATCGACTCGATTAAGGCTCGATAAATACTCGGATCGAATGGATTCGACTCGAGCTCGAGCTCGACTCGAGTTCTTAACGAGCCGAAACGAACTACTCGATATTCGACTCGAAAAGCTCGTGAGCAGCTCGAAAATATAATATATTAAGATTTTATTTTTTTAGAAAATAAATTATTAATAATATTAAAATTTATGTATTGATTTATTTTTAAAATTAAGTAAGATTTTTATCTATTTAAGGTTCATGTTTGAGTTTGAGTTTGAAGCTTCAATCGAGTTAAGTTTAAGAATTTTTTTTTTCATTTCGAGCCTTTTCGAGCTTATCACGAGCTTCAGTTCAGGATTTCGAATTCGAGTCGAGCTTGAAAGTTTTAAACTCGCGAGTTTTCGAGTCGAGTCGAGCTTCATTTCAGAGTTTTCAAGTCGAGTCGAACTCAGCAATACTCGAACTCGACTCGACTTGTTTACACCCTACTGGGCAAGTGCGTTTACCGGTATAATATCAATTCAAGTGGATTTTCCTTTTTCCGATTAGTTTTCGTCAAATTATTTTCAATGTCGAGAGTTAATTTCTATAGTTTAATTCAGTTAAACCATTGACACACTGACTTATTCTTAAGTAAGTATTATAAGACTCATGAACTCTTCCTTTATTATTTTTTTCAAGAATTTAATTTTAATTATAATTTTAATGGCATGACATGCTAATTATATATATATATATATATATATCTAATTTTTACGTTATTTTTATTCTTTATCTGTTAGTATTTTTAATTAGTTTTATTCAACCCAAAACCTATAACCGACCCGATTATTAAATTCCTCCACCTGATACTCGACCCGACCCATGATTGAGAAGATTCTATTGGACCGAACCCGATGCGATTACATTAAAAAATCATCACTGAAGCAACACTCAAAAATTAGGGTTCATTAAAAATCATAAAAATAAACCCAAAAAAAATCAGCATATACAAAATTATATAAACCCAAAAAAAATCAGCATATACAAAATTATATAAACCCATTGCTATACAAAATCATGCAAAAGGAAACACATCTGATTTTGCAGCTATCATTTTCAATTTAATCGACCTATTTGAATTCGAAGATGATTGTATAAGAGTTGAGAGAAAAAAATTGTTATACTTGAGATTTCATGAAAGTAATGGTTAAAAAATAGAAGAAAGAAAAGGAAAAAGCAAGATGAAAAATGAAATAAAGCACAACAAGAAACATGCACAGAGCACATGAATGTATAAGAGTTGAGAGAAAAGAGTTGGAGAAGAAGATTAGGAAAGCAGGCGGTAGGGAAAAAAACGAAAATGGCAAAAAGCTGATATATATATATATATCAAGTCGGATATTTTTAATGTATAACCCCGAACCTGACCCGACTCGAAGACCACTCTCTTAAAATCCAATCCGACATGATTTGAATCTAATTTTTTTTAAAAACTCGATCCTATAAAATTAGATTGGGTTAGAATTCGTCAGATTCGAATTTCATGCCTATCCCTAACCTAGATCTCATACGTTGCTCTCAACCACTTAGTTATGTTAGTTATTTATGTTAATTTCACCATATTTTTATAATCAACTTATATAATAGTATCACTACAAAAATAATATTTTTGGATAATTCTAAAATTTGAATGTGAGAAACTTTAAATTAATGATCGAAAGTTTAGTTACTCAATTATATCGTGAATCTAGTTTTATTATATTGAGCTTAATAAATAAATAATTATTTATATATTTTTGATAGAATGTATATTGAATCATTTTAAAAGTATATTTATAATATTATAAAAATATTTTAAAATATTTATTTAATTTTTAAAGTTATATTATTTATGTATTTTGAATAAAATTATTTTGAAAATATTTATTTAATTTTAAATAATATTATACAAACCAAAGTGATAGCTGGTACAAAACGTATAGTCTAACCTAAATTTTCAATAATTTAGAATTAAATAGATAGTTTAAAATATAATATTATTTCAAATAAATAAATATCGTGATTAAAAAATTAAATATATATTTAAAATATTTTTATAATATTATAATTATACTTTTTAGAATGATTTAATATACATTTTATAAAATATATAATTATTTTTTATTTCTAAATAAAATGAAAATTATTATTTTTAATTTAGTAATGATATAAGTAAGTATTAAGTTGATATAATAAAAAAAATCAAAATATAGTTGGAGTGGCTAAGCTTTCGATCATTAATTTAAAGTCTTTCATATTTGAATCTTATAATCATCGAAAATATATATTTGTAGTGATACTTTTATGTAAGTTAAATACACAATGTGATTAATTAAATTTAAACAACTAACTTCGATCAATGATTAGTATCTTGCAACGGATGAAAGAGACTTTGATTCAATCTATGATGCCACATCAATATTATCTTATATATTTAACGATGGGAAACTAAATTAAAACATAAATTAAACTCAAGCATAAGGCACAACGTTGGCCGATTGTAGGACATAAGCAATACACTATACATATATGAGAATGAGCATCAAGGAGCCGTAGAGCCTCATGAAGATGAAACCGAGGAACAGAAAGGTCGAGATTGCGACGATGGAGTTGACAGCTTCGCTTTCAGTAATAATGCGAGGTGCATCCAAAGTAATACCTAACCGGACCGGATGCCAACATTAATCGCATATGCCTGAAGCGTCACCAACAATGTTCAGAGGTAACGACTGACCATGCCATACTCATCACGAGCTAGTCAATGTGTTCAGTATAAAAGAGATTTAATCATCGAGTGTATCTTAAAAACAATGTTAACAATCGGTTAAAATATGAAATCTTTACATTTCCATACATAGCTAGTTTGAGTAGAGGCATCGAAGAAATCAAAATTTAGGATCGTTGATGGGAATATTATATTAGGAAGACTTCCATTAAAAAACAGAGCCCAGATTCCCAATTTTGATGGAGTCTGAACTTATTATCGTCCATGACAACAACAGGGATTGGTTAGCCCTTTGGAAACCGATTATGATGAGTATATATAAACATGGCCACCAAATGTGACATGTATATTCATTATTAATCCTCCATCAATTAACAGTTTGAAGAACATCACAGCAAGATGAAGGTCGCAGCCATGGACGCCATTGATTCTTTGACGCCATACTTTCTCCACTTGGTAGTTCTATACGTGTCCGTCGTTGTCATTTACTTGCTTTACAAATACAAATCCAACGGCGGCGGGGCCACCCCCAATCTTCCTCCTGGTAGAAGGGGTCTTCCATACATCGGTGAAACCTTGGATTATGTGTTGGCGTCCAGATGGGGCACTCCTGAGAAATTCATAACCGATAGAACTTCCAAATATTCACCCGATGTGTTCCGCACATCGTTGCTTGGAGAAGACATGGCCATCTTTTGCGGTGCTGCCGGTAACAAGTTCCTTTTCTCCGGCCAAAACAAATACGTCACTTCATGGTGGCCCGATTCCATCAAGAAAGCTCTCATGGATCCGGCCAGTGTCGACAATTCTTCCAAGGAAGAATCCACCAAACTTCGAGCCTATTTGCCCCCCTTTCTCAAGCCTGAGTCTTTGCAACACTATATACCATTGATGGATACAATGGCGAAAGAGCACTTGAATCAACACTGGTTCCCCTACAATGAAGTCAAAGTTTTCCCGCTCTCAAAGAAGTACACGTTTGCACTTGCCTGTCGTCTTTTCATGAGCGTCACGAATCCAGATGAGATCGAAAACTTCGCAAAGCCTTTTGCTCTTGCAACTGCCGGTCTCATATCGGTGCCCATTGATCTTCCTGGTACAACATTCAACCGCGCGGTGAAAGCCGGCAGGCAGATTCGGGAACAGCTATTGGCCCTCATCACGAAGAAGAAAAAGGAGATAATAGAGAAAGGGAAAACAGAGGCATCAGACTTGGTGGATAGCATGTTGATGGATGAAATGACGGAGGTTGAGATCGGCAACAAGATTGTTGGCTTCTTCATTGCCAGCCATGACACTACAAGCACTGCCATCACCTTCCTTGTCAGCTATCTCTCGGATCATCCTGACGTATATAACAGGGTCCTTGAAGGTACCTACTTTCTGATTTGGATTTTAATTATTAAGCAGCAACAATTAGGTGAATAAATAAGATTGTAAACTGCAGAGCAAATGGAGGTTTTAAGAGGGAAAGAGGGAGGGGATGAGGCCTTGAGATGGGACGATATACAGAAGATGAAGTATACGTGGTGCGTGGCATGCGAAGTAGTAATGAGGCTGGCTCCACCTGCTAATGGTTCTTTTAGAGAGGCCATTTCCGACTTTACATACGCTGGTTATACCATCCCAAAGGGTTGGAAGGTAATTAATGCCTATATATTTATGGAATAGTCTAAAGATTATTAAATGATTCATGGTTATTTTGAAATGGTTCAGGCGTTTTGGACGGTGCATACAACCAATAAGAATCCGAAATACTTTCCGGATCCGGAGAGATTCGATCCATCGAGGTTTGAAGGGAATGGTCCAGCGCCCTACACATTCGTACCATTCGGGGGAGGGCCTAGAATGTGCCCAGGAAAAGAGTATGCACGACTCGAAATCCTGACTTTCATACACAACCTCATCACCTCCTACAAATGGGTCAAAATCAATCCCAATGAGAAGATTTCCTATATTCCATCACCCATTCCTCAGGAGGGCCTTCCCATCAAGATCCAAACCATACTAAATTAAGGAACGGGTTAAAAAACTCAGCTGGCAAGCCACTTTTATTATTATTTGTTTTCTTTTTTTACTATACCTAAAGACATGTGTTACCTAGTTGAGTTTCAGACTCCTTTTAAAGTTCCCACACTTGTTATGTGATAATATCTTTTAAATTAATTATATAATAAACCTTTTTTAAGTTTTTCTGTTTTGTGACACCTGCAATAATAAATAAATTCCCAAGATAAGTTGAAGAGCAATACATTTTTATGTTTTTTATTCACATACTCGATTGAAATTTCAACATTAACTTTTTTATATATGGGCCTCGTAGATCAATTAATCGGCAACCAATGTGGGTTTAGGCAGGCTAATAATTTCGAATGTTGTTTTCGTAGTTAAAAGTTATTCTAACAAAACAACTAACCCTAAACCAAATACAAAGCCAAATGATGAAATGAAGAAGAAAGCATAGGGTACCAAAAAGGCCAAAACTTTGGTGTCTCCTTGGAACCGACTGATCCATTTAGAAATGGGGCACTCCATTTCAATTCATGCCATGCATTATACGGTTGTACCCCACTCCCATGTGAGACCATCCCCTTCGGCCTTCCTGTCCCCCCCCCCCCCTTTTTCTGAAAGGAATCGCATATAATTTCACTAAATGCATTGTCAAACCATTAACTTAGTAAATAACACATCTCACCGAGGGTGGAGATGGATACAACAAACCCCTTATCTGTTTTTCCACGAAACAAGTCTAAATCAATTCTGTACTTATCCATTTTGAATGGGTGGATTTTGTTAGAAGGGATTAGGTAAAACAATTATCGATTAAAGTTTGCTCAAATTCGTCCTCTTTTTCACTTCTAATTTTTTTGCTCCCTTTGTTATTGTTTTATGTAGCATGTTTATATTTTAAATATATGTGCAATAAACATATGTTAAATGGAATGTTTTTCTATGGACAACAATGAACATATTTAAATTCAAGATGAAAATAAACCCAAAAAGATGAATTCGATAATTTTAATTGTTATCGACAACTTACTATAATAGTTGATAATGACCCATTTGGCCAAGTCCAACAACATGGGCACACCTACAACTTGTCAATCTTTTAGGTCCTTTCCCAGAGAGAAATGAGAGGCAAATAGGAAAGGAGAAGAAAAAATAGATACGTTAAAATTTTATAATTAATATTATAAGCATAATAATATAATATAATATTGTCAATAGTTTCAAGTTTTCATCTAAAATTTAAGGTCAAATTAATACCTCATCTAAGGTTAAGGGTTAAATTAAAAATTAATCTTTGTGTTAACATGTCAAGTCATCTAACTAACATAAATTAATGAATTACGGATAAAAATATAACAATTAATAATGTAAATGACCGAAATGTATTTTTTTTTCAAAATCAGTGATCAAAAGTAAAAGAAAATAACTAAAACAAATGTGACTATTCTGGTAGTTAATTCACCTAATTAAGAGAACATAAGATGAATGTGCAAATATTCATTTACTCAAAATCTAACTTTTACTGTCAACCGTTGTATGCATGGGGTAAAAGAGTTGGCAAAAAAGAATCCATGTATGAAATCAATAAATAAGCGTAGACAAATGTTGGTTCTTTGGTGGCCTAACCAACCTGCCATGAAATCAAGTCTCAATTCTCGAGTGAGCGAAGCAAATGCATGAATCATTCATAATCCATCCAGTTTCGGCCACCAAACAAGACACAGCCATGGAGTTTCCAAAGCTATACGGTAGTGGAACTCTTGAATCATCAGAAGAAGGGGAGAGATTCGGGGTGATATTGAGCAGAAGCCGTTCGGTTTCGAGTGCGTCCACCGTGGCCCTGAGAGCCGAGAAACAGAGCACCGCACTCGAGAACGCCGTGAAAAGGGCCTTCTCCATCACCAGATCCAGATCCACTTCTTATTGTGTTTCCACGGGCAGGGGTGGATATTACAAAATATTCCACCATTTCGATGATCCTGATCCCATTGCTGTCCATGAATTTCATAACGTTACCATCAAATCAAGAAAAAGGAGGGGCTCCAAAATATTTGAAGCTTGCAAGCGACTCATTGGGTTATAACGTTAATCTAATCTATATTTCACCCCCACCCGACCCGATTGTCTACTTTCGGACCCTGTAATTGTAAGCTTTCCATTTCACATTCTCGTTAAGCCTACTGTTCCTTCTTAGGCTCGGCTAGTCTGAGCTATTCTTCTTTGGAACACACAAAGCAAATCTCTGTTTGCAATTTTTTTTATTTTAAAATTTTAATTTAATTACATCCTATCCATATTACTAGTAATATCTTTCTTGTAGTGTTTAAATATTTTTAATAGTCTAAAATAATTATAAAATAATATTTATTCATATATTTTTTAATTTATTAATAATACACTCTCCTTTTATTACCACCAAGGTTATTCAATTATTCAATTTAAAAATAATACTTACGACAATACTAGCAAAGCATATCATTGCGAGAAAGAAGTGCATAATTTAAAAATCATAAATTTTTAAACAATTGGTTGATTAAATTGCTTATCCTTATTATCTTACACTCTTATAGATTAGATTATAAGTTCTAAACTCGTTAAGAACACTTTCATACCTAACTCGAGAGTCATTGAAGAATTGATATTACATTTAAAATTCATAAAAAAAATCATGAATTTTAATTTTACAAGCATCCTAAACAACCAAATTTCTTTTTTACAATTAAAAACCAAATTTATTAATGAATAGCTATGCAACAAATCACGAGTTTGAAAAATGATTACCAATATTATGTGTGAGTTTTTATCAAAATTTGAATTCATATTCTGAAACATAAATTTATGGTAATATTGTTTTGTTTATACAAATATTGGAAATTAACAATCTTGGTGGACTCTTTGAACAAATATCATTTTGTGGAAATTAAAAGAAAGAAATTTACTAAAAGGAGAGAGATCGTTCGCATGGAACTCAAGACCAAGGTTTGTCCAGTTGGTGTAGTTAAAACTCTTATCTTTCACTCAGGATCCTATCTTCATAAAGTTCAAATGCAATCAAATTGATGTAAGAAAATGTAAGTTGATAGTCCACAAAAAGTCTCCACCTATCACTACAGGTCAACAAAGTTATTAATTGTTTTCCAAAATACAACAGCAGCCATCCTTAAGAGTGCGTTTAGTTCATGGAATGTAATATTACTAGTGGGAATAAAAGATTACTAGGGAATAAGATTACTGAGAATGTTGTATTTTGTGTTTGGTTGGTTTAACAGGAATGTAAAATTACCGTGTTTTGTTAAATGAATAAAATATTATTGGAATGTATATTTGACCAAATTATCCTTATTATATATTTGTTTTTTTAACAAGTTGGAAAATATTTATATATTTTCTTTAAAAAAATTAAATTCATAAAACTTCTATAATTTTTTTTACAAAATTGAAAATATAAAAAGGTTTAATGAAAGGATAAAACTTTATTTTAACCCATAAACTTCATATAAAATTTTAATTATAGATTTTTTTTTGTAAATCTAAAATAGTTTAAGAATAAATTTGTAATTTAGCCTTCGTATAATTTTTATTATTCAATGACAGAATAAATATATTTTTGAAAAGGAAAAAAAATTTAAGGGTATTTTAGTCCAAAACGTCGGTAATGCAACAATACCTAAGGAAAGGAAGGTAATGACATTCCCGGTAATATACCCCAAAAAATACACTATTGGTAATATAAGATTACCGGGAATGACATTCCTGGCCAACCAAACGGGGGAATGTGGATTCTATTCCCATGTGAATCTCATATTCCCCACCAAACACACCCTAAAGGTCAACAAAAATATTAACTCCTTTTACCCCAATGTTAACAACTCTAGCCTTCAGTCCTTTCTAAGCCCATCATTTACATGCAAATAACAGAATTCACAAAACTACAAAATGGTATTTGGTTCAAGGAAATGAGTGTTGTTGTTTTGGATTGGAACAGACAATTTTTAAGATGACATATAACACTACCGATACCCCTTCATGCAATGCTTGACAACCAGTTCTGATCCTAAAGCATTGTATATCGCACTTACTGCATATTCGAAACCTTCGAAAGGTAATCTCTTTGATCAGCACCACTCGAAAATCTTGTAGAGCTTCTCCAGTGGAGCTACCCGAAAATACAAATAAAAAAAGGTGGGCAATATTACTGATTAGTGTGTGATGAACTATTCTTATTTAGTAGCTTAGCAATTGAAAGCAAAATGTGTTCTTCTATTCATTCATAACAGTGAAGGCTTTATGCCTATTTATACAACTTGTTTACTAACTAACCACAACAACTTGTAACAGTTTCATAACAAACCACAACTGTTCACACACACACTCAACAACCTCACACGATGCACACCAGCTCAACTCAGCTGATACTAACTTCACTGACACTCAACCCTTATATGCTAATATTCTCCTATCTTTCTTCTTCTCCTTTTTTCTTCTTCTTCATTCAACATTATTGAACATGAATTATGTCTCAAAAAGCATGAAACGACGCCTTAGCCAAAGGCTTGGTAAATCCATCAGCAAGTTGAAAACCAACAGGAACATAACTCACCCTCAGTTTACCAGCTGCAACCTTCTCTCGGACAAAATGAATGTCAAGATCAACATGCTTTGACTTCGCATGATACACTGGATTGGCAGTCATTGCTACCGCACTTGTGTTATCACACCAAATAATAGGAGTATCGAGTGAATGCAGCCCTAGATCACTTAACAAAGCATCGATCCAAGTTACCTCTGCAACAACTTCTGTAATGCTTCGATACTCAGCTTCCATCGTGGAGCGTGACATTGATTTTTGCTTCTTAGACGCCCAAGTAACCAAGTTGTTACCAAGAAACACTTCATACCCAGTCATCTAACGCATATCTCCTGTATCACCCGCCCAATCAGCATCAGAAAAGGCTCTTATACATAACTTAGTATCATCAGCCGAGAAGACTAAGCCATAATCCAAT